TTATTGGACAGTGCAACATCATTTTGCCTCATTGGTGGGCCGGACAGGAGTCACTGGGCTACATCTAAAACAACAAATAAGGACGTTAGCAGTTTGTCAGGCATGAAACTACACTTTTGCTCTAATAAGGTTATTCTCAAAAAGCTGTTAGTTAAATCCTCTGTCTTTCTAGGAGTGTTCAGGGCACGTGAAGGACAAAAGTACAGTAGTTGCTTGAAAAACAGCAGATGAACAAAATGTGAAATCTTGTTTTCGTGAAAGGAAATAAATCCGTCCTTTAGGCTTCTCTGCTGCAGAATAATTAACTGTACATACAAGCCCTTGTTCCAATGTAGTTCCACACTTCAGCAGCCCATGTCAGTAAGTATCATTTAAACCCTGAAGTCACTTTGTTTGTTTGTTTGTTTGTTTGTTTGTTTAGCTGTGGGATAATGGCCACAGACAAACTGGATGCATACACAGGAGGTTTGTACTCTGAATACCAGGAGGAACCCTTCATCAACCACATCGTGTCTGTGGCTGGATGGGGCGTGGAGGACGGTGTTGAGTACTGGGTGGTCCGCAACTCCTGGGGAGAGCCATGGGTGAGTCTCCAGAAACAAAATCTGGTCATTTATTGGTAAAAAAAAAAAAAAAGTCTAAATTTCTGTTTGTGTGTTTTCACAAAGGTAGACATGCAAACATTTATTGTATCAACGTTTCTCTGTAAATTTTTTAAAAATTCCTAAAATAGTTTTATAGTTCTTTGCAGAATCCGAGCTATAAACTATTTTAAAAGGAGAAACTGATTAAGAGTTTAAACAATTTCAGATGGACTAAAGTGGTATTTAAGGGTTTTGTTATCGAGCTCTGCCAACAATTTACTTTTCGATATAAGTTTAAAGTGCATTATAACCTGCACCGACTCTGAGTAGAAAGAATTGCCTTCAAGCTGTTTTATTACCTGTTAGGTTTATAAAAATCTTATATTTTACAGTGTAAGGTGACAATTTAACAGCTCTAAATGTGCATGATTTTAATAAATGCTCTTTGCAGATGAACTTTAAAATCCCTTGGTTGAATTTAACAGCCTTCCTCCTCTTCTTCAGGGTGAGAGGGGCTGGCTCAGGATCGTGACGAGCGCCTACAAAGGAGGAAGTGGCAGCAAGTACAACCTGGCGGTGGAGGAGGACTGCATGTACGGAGACCCCATCGTCCCTAAAGGCTACCTGTAGACCATAAATCTGGTTCTGTTCAGTCTTCCAATCAAGCGGTGAAATGGGGCTTTTTATAATGTTTTAAAGGGAATAAGTTCAGCTTTTACTTTGTGTTTTTTAAGGAAAATTATCTTTGACTATGATGCAGAGGTCTGCAGCCTGTTAAACAGTCCAGAGATTTTAAATGCTCTTATCAGTGACGCATGTTGGCACCAAACCTTTTGTCTTTAAGACAGTTAGCCACTGCTCGGTGAAAAGCTTTTTATATTCAAATTTTTTTGTAAATGAAATGTCGACAACCAAAGCCAGCACTGACAATGTTTGATTCAGCACTACAGTGTTAAAGAGGAAAAACAAAACGATGTGCCTTATTTACACTAAGCACTTAATGTTGAGCTTAGATGAATGCCTTTTGTTTTTATGTACAAACTGCACACATTGAATTGAAACTGAAGATTTTTTTKATTTCAAACTATGCCAATAAAGTTTGTGGCGCAACTTTTGTGTAGCTGTTTTTAATTTTGACACATACTATAACTGTTATGAGTTTGTATGTTGACGTGTTTAGAAAACTGAAATAATGTAGCCAAGCTTCCTTTAGCTACTTTATTCACATTTTATAAGCTTTTATTTCTTAAAACAAAGATTTGTGAAGCTGCAGATGGTTGAAATAATAACCCTTTTGATTTATATATTTAGCATTCAGTTCTCCAAAATAGAAGCCCTCAGTAAAGAAAACACAAAGTAGACATTTACATTTTTATTTTTTAAAAAGCACAAGATAGGATATAGAAAAACAAATCACATATACAAGTAAAAAGGAAAAATAGCTGCATCTTCAGAGGCCTCTTTATCAACCAGTCTTTATTAAATACATCCTCTTTGGTCCAAACATGCAGCTGAGACGTCTGTTTTCAAACAGTTTAAACATCACAACGAAGCACTAAATATCAGAGATCACAGATCCTGTTTCTGCTGCGCTGCTTCTTTGTGAAATCTTCAACAAAAACATTTCCACGTCAGTTGATCATGATGAAGTTTGACTTGCAGTGAGCTGAAAATAAATCAAATGTTAGTATTTTGTGTTTATATGCTGTAAATGTTTAATCAACTCACTGACTCTCACCACAGAGCCAATCAAAACTCAACAGGAAACCTGAATATTTGGTGTTTTACTCACCGATGAACTCGGCTACAGGGTCGTTTTCTCCTTCTGTGCGGATCGTTCCTGCGATGCTGTCGTTCTCCAGGATGGGCAAGAAGAGCTGAACAAAGTCTGAYGTGTAGGGAGGAGCGATCACATCCAACACCTTTAAGAGAACAAAACTCTGAGCATTGAGCCTCATGCAAGAAMCGTTCGTACGAACAGRTCGGTTCTTAMGTTGTGCCTACGAGTGATTTACGAGAATTTATCATTCACCAATTTTCTCGTAAGATTTTCTTCAGATAAGAACAAAATTCACGAGTGGTCCAGACCTGTGGTTTAATTTACGAGCAGTCAGTCTGCTGTTATCCAGACAGATTTTCTTCACTAGTAATTTTATATTTCACTAGTTTGAAGATATTTTGAGATGAAAATAAATTACACTTTATAATTATGTTGACAATAGGCTATTCAGTTTGATTTAGAGTTATAATTTTAAATTTAATAAAGTAGACTAATGACATAAATTGGTTATGTTAAATTGGCTATTAATGCTGTTGTATAACACTATAATATTAATATGAAGATCTCAAACTACAAACTAACTTAAATTATGCATTAATTGGGGTTTGGAGACTATTTAAAGTGCTTTTATTCAGAAACGCATCTGACACTTGCGAGGAGGGGGCGCGGGGGCAGCGGTGCGCGACGGCTCTTCTGAATAAATGAAAACTATGTAACCCAGTTTACACTTACATTAAAAATATTTGACCAAAGGGAAAATAGGAGCAGGACTAGAGAGATGAATATGATTTAGATTTTTATTTCTGTGTCTATACGACCCACAGGAGACACGACATTAACAGCAGTCCTCATTTCATTCCTCTGCTTTAGCAGGTCTGATGCTGCTAAAAATGACAGATTTTTTTTCTGGATCTCTGAGAGCAGGACTTCAATCTCTGAACTCATAAAGTTCTTCTTTTTACTTTGCGATGTCATTTATGAATGGACACTTCCTGGTATGTCGAGCAGGAAACGTTACCTTATATGGTGTTTATAGTGTGGTAATTATGCTAATCACCTCTCCTCGTGCACGAGCACCTGATACGCATTCATCAGTTTACACTCCTCATTTACACACTTTTCCTGAAGATAGAAGAGTTTGTTGAATCTGACGTGACATGTTCGTACGAACCCTTCATACAAACAAAAGTAAGAGAATTTTAGGATAAGAATACAAACATGTTCTTGCATGAGGCCCAATGAGTTAAAGCATTCAGATGTTTTTAAAACAAGTCATAACACTAACTTATTCAGGACTTCTAAAGACAGAACAAAGGATGTTTCAGGAAACAAACTTAAACAAAATAACCAACATTACCTCAGTGACAAAATATCTAATGAGGGAAATATCAGTGTTGAGTTTCTCCAGACATTTACGAATGTAGCCGACGACAGGCAGGACGTAGCCACGGCTCAGAAGATGAACCATTCGGTCCAGCAGAGTCTTCTTCAGCTCCATCTGGAGGAGAAACAAAAATCTCACTTAAGATATGAACGTTGAAGTGTGACGGTGACACAACAGCACCGCAGACACCCACCTGCTCCATGACGTCCAGCTGAGAGTGATCCGTCTCAAAGAGCTTGATGAGAAGCTGCAGGACCTGCGGGTGCAGCAGCTGGTGACACGTGCAGATCTGTGTGGAGGAGGGTTTTATTCAACACCTTTAATGTAAATTAACCTCTCATCTGCTGCTGCTGGTATACCTCATCCAGTAAGGCTAAATGAACGGGGGTGTGGTCTGTTTGCAGCTGGAAGTARCGCGGCTCTGACACAGTCCAGTCCACCCACTTTAAAACTCCCATAGCAACCACTGGAAACCTGAACACACATCAGTTAATGTCAGCACAGAACAGTGAAGAAGTCCTGTCAAACTTTAAAGGGATCCATGATTAGTTGTAACATTAGACTTTATTTGATAGACATATTTTAACTGTAAAATAAAGACTGAAAATACTGTAGGCTGTTTAGTTTTTATTATTTTTAAACTAAAAGTTTTAAAATGTATTACACGGACGGGGCTATTTTATTTACATGCAAAGCATTCTGGGTAAATGATGACGTGGATAGGTCCTCGGTGCGAGGCTGCTAGCGAGCTATATCC